TAAAATTTATAATAAATTATATATAAAAATAAATAATATATTTAAATATATAAATTATATTTAAAATTTATATTGATAAATATTTTTAAATATATAAATTATATTTTAATTTTATGATAAATAATTTATATTATGACATATTTTTATTTATTTACTGATAATTTATTTTGAAATATTAATATTTGATTCATGAATAATTATGATAAATAAAAATATAATTAAATGAGAAGTTAAAAAAAAATTCTATAAATTATTTTCTTGAAAAAATCATAAAAATAATCTCGTGTAAAATATAGATTTATATTTAATATATAAAAGTTTATTTGAAACATTCAAATTGTTTTACAATTTTTCTAAAAAGGTAACTAAAAGATGAAAAATTAGCTTTCCCCAAAACATTAGACATTAGACACCCAATGCATGTCTGTATGTTGTTTTAATAAATACAGGAAAAATAATAAAAAGGAGATCATGAAATGAGAAATTGTTAAATTAAGTTTTATATGTAGGTTACGGATGGGAACATTGTTTTAAACCATTTTTTAATGAAATGTTTTTTTTTTTTTTTTATAATTTTTTTTATTTAGTTTCCATAATAATTTGTTTGTTTGTTTGTTTCATGGTTTACATGGCAGGTTGGGTAGACGATAGTCTCCTTCACAATAAACCATTGCATAGGTACGTGGAAAGTGGTGAGTGGGATTATGCAAGGTCAATCATCAATAATGATGCCAAGGCTATATATTCCACCTCTTCTATGGGAAGGTCTGTTCTTCATGTTGCCGTAATTGCTGGTCATGAACGCATTGTGGAGAAGTTAGTTAAGTTAGGGAAAGATAAATTAGTGAAAATGCAAGACAACTTTGATTACACTGCTCTTGCACTTGCTGCTGATTTAACTGGAAATGTTGACGTTGCAAAGTGCATGGTAGAGAAGAGAGGAGGGCAAGGGCAAGAGCTTCTAGTCATGAAGACAAAACGTGGTGAAATTCCTGTTCTTCTTTCAGCTGCTAAGGGACACAAACAAATGACTCGTTATCTTTACCAACAGATGACTCACTATCTTTACTGTACAACTCAGTTACATGCCTTCAACCACGAAAATTCCCACTACGGCGTTTTGCTTCTTACACGATGTATTACGGCTGAAATATTTGGTAAGCAATAACACTTAACTACGTAAATATTCATAATGCATGGTAACTCATAATTAAGTAATTAATAATTAAGTAGGGATAATGTTGGATTATCATTAATTTTGTACTAATTAATTTTTTATAGATGAAATTCAGATTGTACTAATATACATATATGATCAAATAAAAGTTGGTTTGTTGATATGCTAGATGTGGCTTTGAGCTTAATTCATCGTATTCCAGATTTGCCTCTTACTCATGAATCCAATAGCCTTCGGCCCTTATACGCACTGGCACGCATGCCTTCAGTATTTCCTAGTGGCTGTGGATTCGGACGTCTACAAAAACTCATCTATAACAGTAAGTTGTCACATTTTATCATTTTCTTTTGTTTATATATATATATATATATATAACAACTTTAACAGTAATTATTCGTAAATTTATTTCACTCAATAATTCTTAATGTATGTTAAATTTCAACGATTTAATAGTTAAATTAAAAATTTTTAATATATGAATTAAGTCTATATAAATTTTTAAAAAATTTAAAAACTATTTGATTCGTTTCATTAATTTAAATTAAGGGATATTCATAAAAATATTTTATTCATTGATTTGAATCTATTTAGCGAAGTATTATATGATTCTTATTTTTTTTAAAAATTTATAAACTTGATTTATGCATTAATAACTCTTAAGTGATATTTAATAGATGAGAATTTTTTACTTTCCTAGAGTCTTATATTGGGAATATCAATTACCCATATTTGATATCTACATAAAAAAAAAAATTCCCTGGAAATATTATTTTGGAAATGATTTTATCTCACTTTTTCACAAAAATATTCTCATGAAGGAGGTTGGAAATTCAACTTTTCCAATTATAAGGGAAAGTTTTAATTATGTAAAAGACTAAGATATTCCTTTTAAAAATAAAAAATATACGATTGAATTTCATCGATATTTATCTAGCTCTCTTTCTCTTCACCTTCTTCTCTCTCATTTTATTTCTCTTTCTCCCTCTTTTACTCCCATATCTCTATTTCTCTCTTTCTTGTATATCATTATTTCTTAACCTTGTTAATTTTAATAATATTATTAAAGTATATTTTATTTCTATAATTTAATGATATTTGTTAACACTTATTTATTTATTTTTAATTTTTTGAATGAAATGAAATAATATAATTTTATCCTTCTTAATCATAAGGTAACATCTTTTTGTTTATTTCTTTTTTTGAATTATGTATTTAAATAATTTTAACTATAAATTTTTAACTTTTTAAAAATAGTTTATTTTTTTTATCAAATGCAAATATTATTATATAAAAAATTGTTTATATATGTAATTAACTTTTTATTATCTTCAAAAAGTTATTAGATCATAACAAAAAAATTTAATGTTATATTTGTAATAAGATTTGAGTAACTAAATATATCTGATGAGGTTATTTTAATAAAATATATTTTTGTAAAAAATATTTATATACTCAAGAATATACTATTGTAACTAAATATAAAAATCTTTAATTTTTGAGAATATTGTATGAATATTTCTAAGAACCTTTATGAATAAATAAACAAATTTTAGTTACTCTCAACAATCATGATTCTTATGATTTGTAATTATCAGGAATCATAATTCATGACTATGAAAAAAAATTTCCTCCTATCAAACATCCCCTTAATTTAACAGTTAGATTCTTAAAATTCAACATATATCATGAATTATTGGGTATAGTAACTCTATTAAGAATTATCTAAAGTAATTTGATCCCTTCTTATATATGAGGTCTACTTATTATAGGAGTAACAAAACAGATAATTAACCACTAGGTTGACCCTAGTGGTTGGGTGGGAAGGAGTTGAAATAGTTAAAAGTATGAAGACCTAGGTTCAATCCTCATTGCGACTATTTTTGTAATCTTTCCTATCTTTATAAAAAAAAAGATAATTATAAAAATATTTTATATATTGATTTAAATTAATAAAATAAAGTAATTTTTTTATTTTTTAAAATTAGATATATTGAGTAAAGTAAGTTAATCCACGAATTATTTTTCATCCCTTACCAGGTGATTTGCATGTTTTAAGTGTTTCTATTAGATCTATTAGATCAATCTAATCCATAGTCTGAAAGCTCAAGTAATATTCCACATTGCTACCGATCGATTTACTTCCATTTTCAGTTTTAATATTAGAAAGATCAGAGATAAAGCTGCGAAGGTCGTGCGGAATAAGCATTAAGATTGTACCAGATGTTACCCAAGTAGAAGACCTTCATGTGGCTCAAGACAAACCCCAACATACTCACTTCCTCACAGGTCTGAATGGATTGCACTCTTTCTCTAACAAATTGCATGCCGACTTAAATATATATATCATATTTCTTTAATAATTTATTTATCATATAATTAAATATATATGATTTTGGTAGAGATGACATTTTAAGAAAATAAGCTGCCGCAATGATAATGTAAAACAACGTTATACTATTTTTATTTATGAAATTAAACTCATACTTAAATATAAGACTCTCGCAGCAACCTGGAGACGTTTTCAGCTGTGTTATCATACTACAAAATTAACATAATGATTTGGCATGGTGAATGAATATTCTGTTCATTACTATTTTTAAGGACAAAGTTAGCTTCAATATAATGGGAGTGTAGTGTGTATTAGGGAATAAATTAAGTGCATTTATAGTCATTGATTAAAAAATTCAGTAGTTTAGATTGTAATTAATTTCAAAGTTTGTCATAAATGCATTGTGTTAATTTAAATAAATAAGTAAATTAGGGGCTATGCTATTGTAAAATTAATGGATAATAAATAGTGAATAAAAATTGTAATAATAAATAGTGAATAAATTTTTAATGATTTAATTGTTTTTATTCACTTAATAATTTAATTAATTAAAAAAATAATATTTATTTACTATAGAAAATTATTTATTATTTTAGAATTTTAAAAAAAATTTATTAGTGTATCAAAATAATTTTATTTATCATTTTCTATCTTTATTTCTCTCTTTTCATACACCTATGTACGTTTATCTTTACCCAAAATTTATTTTGTGTTGCTTCCTTTATTTTCTTTAGGAAGGTTTTGGGGTCTGGCTTTGAATTTCCCCCCAGTGAAGCTCTTAGGTATGTGTGTCCTATTTCTTTGAGGAATCCTGTGCCCTGCCATCGTATGTTGATCAACATTGTATCCTTCTTTTGTGTGTGTTTTCTTTATTTTTTTTCCAGGTCGACTGCTTATATTCGTTTATCTACTATTTCAAACTTATATACTTTTGAAGTTATCTGATGGTACGTTCCCTCATCCTATTAAAGCTGTCTCTATTTTCCCTTATGGTTTTTTTTTTAATACACAGTAACTCTTTATAAGGTAAACAGTGTATTCTGTTTCTTAAATAATCACCATTAATATGTTACGTTATAAATAAAGTTCGTAAAATACACACAAATTTCGCTTATAAAAAGTTTTTGGGAGTGATGACCAAAATTAAAATTATGTTGGTTTAGTTTTAAAATTAATAATATTTTATCAATACGAAGATGTATACAAATATTCTAAATACTTACTATATAATAAGATATAACCCTTTTCTTAATAAATATATCTTTTATAAATAAATACAAAATAATTATATTCAAATCTTCACTATACATCATGTAAATTACTAATAATTAGTTCAGAACTATCAAACACCTAGCTTAGAACTATCAAATAGCTAGTTTAGAGCTATCAAACACCTAACTTGGAACTACCAACAACTAACTTGGAGCGACCAAACATCTAACTAAAAGCTACCTACAACTAGCTAGGAGCTACCAGACAACTCGCTCTTAAGTGACTAGAATTTGCTCAAAGCGACTAGAATTTTCTCTAAGCGATTCAAGTTAGAGAGTATCTTTGAATAGCCATCCAAGCTCGCTTTGAGCGACATTCATGGAAGCTCTAAGCGACCAAACTCCAAAAAACATGCATGACTTGGAGAAAATCTAGCAACTCAAAAGTAACCTCAAATCCTCTTAACCCGTACAACAATACATGTTGCTTGCAAACTCAAAATCTTCCAATTATAATAACATGCAACTCATAAATTAAAGACAATGAGACATGCAACAACAACACACCAACTTGCCATCATCAAACCTCCTTCTTCACCAAGAACACCAAGGATCCACAAAATACAACACTCACCCCAAAAATCAAGCATACTAGCAAGCAATCTACAACAATCCAAAACACAAGCTTCTCTTATCTCTTAGAGAAATAGACAACAAGAAAAGGGGAAGAAAGAAAAACTTTGTATGACTTCGAGACAAGATCTTAGCTCCACTAGCTTTGATCTCAAGTTTAGCCACTTGACTCAACGACAAGGAAGAAGAAAAGGAAGATCTTTAGAATGAGGAGGAGAAGAAAAGGTTATGATCCTCTCTCTTGAGTTTTTCTAAAAACATGAAGTTATGAGTCCCATTCAAGAAAACCTCCTATAAATCCTCTTAGAGTTGAACCAACTTAACTAACATCAACTTATCACTTAACCACACAACCAAAGTAAGCATCCCAAAAAGACAATGTTACACTGTCATATTAATATTTAAATTTTAAAAAAATATTCAAATAAGTATTTAAAATATATGAAACAAGTTTAACTACTCATTATCATTTCTAAATATATATTGATTTTATCACTTTAGTCACACATTTTTTTGACTTATGGACTAATATGATTGTGAAATGATACTTCACTTATTTAAAAAAAAAAATTAATTTTAGAGAATTCTATGGAAATGTCTTCTTAATTTAGTGGCTAATTCAAGTGTTTACTGTGTATATATTAGTCTTGCTAGTAAATTATTTCCCTTAACTTTAATATTTCACTATAATTTATGACTTCATCACTGAGTCCTCAGAATTAATCATCTCAGGAATTAGAGAAATATATGAACAGAAAAAGACCCACTGTCTAGTTCTTGAAATATTGAAGTGCTTGTGCCAAAGAGTTAAAGAATATAAGGAATCACAGCTCCAAGAGGCTTCAGCATATGATGCGATGTTGCAGGCAGCGAAGCTTGGAATTATTGAGTTCATAAATGCAATGAGCAAGGCCAATCCTGATCTCTTGTGGGCCATTGATAAGAACAAGAGAGGCATATTTTCTCATGCAATTCTGAATCGTAGAAAAGATGTTTTTCGACTCATAAATGATGTGAATGGACGGAAAGAGATAATCAAATGCCGCGCAGACGCTTTTGGCAATACCCTGTTGCACTTGGCGGCAAATATTGGACCTTCTTCTGACCTTGATCGCAGATCCGGTGCTGCTCTCCAAATGCAAAGGGAGCTTCAATGGTTCAAGGTTATTGATTTTTTTAAATATATATATTCACTTACTTTAAAAATAAATATTTATAGACTTATTTCACTCAATAACTCACATTTTATATTAAATTTTAATGATTTAATTTTTAAATTAAAATTTTTAATATATAGATTAAATCTATTATTTTTTAAAAATTGAAAACTATTTGAGACTTTATTTTATTAATTTAAATTGATAAATAATTATAAAAATATTTTATACATCGATTTAAATTTATATAACAGAGTATCAAATAGTTTTCAAATTTATTAAAAATTTGTAAGTTTAATTTATGTATTAAAATATTTTAATTCAATGGCTAAATTTTTTTAATTTGATATAAAACACGATTTATTGAGTTGGTAGACTTTACTCTACTTAATAATTTGTGTTTTACATCAAATTTCAAATATCCAACCTTTAAATTAAATGTTTTGCATAGATTAAACTTGCAAATTTTTAAAATTTTAAAAATCATATGATACTTAATTATATATATTCAAATTAACGTATAAAATGTTTTTATGATTTTCTTTTAATTTAAATTAATGTAATGGAATATCAAATAATTTTTAAATTTTTTTAAAATTTGTAAATTTAATTTATGCATTAAAAACTTTTAATTTAATAATTTGATCATTAAAATTTGATGTAAAACAAGTAGAGTAAGTCTTGAAATAAGTGAGTCTCTCTCTATATATATATATTGGTTGCACTAATTTTTTTTCTCTTTACTTCTAACTACCTCAATCCTTCCTCACCCAACCACTAGGCTAACCCTAGTGGTTTGTTGACGAGGTTTATTAACATACACTCACTTATTTTTTTTAAAGGAATATATTAACAAGTTATAACTACAATTTTTTTTTAAATGCATCTAGGTGTAACTTGCTAAATTACTCTAACTAAAAAACAAGTTAGCAAACCCCTGTATATAAGGACCATATACTATGACAATGTCAACGTCATTTTTCATGTGAGAATAAAAATACTCAATTTTAACATTTAAATTAAAATATTATAAATAAAATTATCACATATCATCGTAAGTGTCTCTATTATCCATGTCCCTGTGATCATTACTATTCTAGTGTCATTACCACCACTACTGTACTGTTACTAATATTGTCACTATTATCACCACCACCATCAAACAGAAACATAATTATAAGTTAAAAGTAAAATAATAAAAGTAGTTAAATACATCTGTCATAACAATAATGATAATAAAAATACAATAATAATGACATGACAAGTATAATAATAATGGTAGTGACAAGAATATAATGATAATGACACCAATTGTAACGACGATTATGATTAAGTGTACATTGTTATTTTACATCTAAAAGGCAAATTATGAAATCACTGCAGGCTGTTGAGAAAATAGTGCATCCTAAATGTAAGGAAGGCAAAAATACAGATGATAAGAAACCCCGTGAGATATTTAGTGAAAGCCATGAAGAGATGGTGAAAGCTGGTGAGAAATGGGCAAAAGACACTGCTAGTTCTTTTACTCTTATTGGTACTCTCATAATTACTATCATGTTTGCCGCGGCTTTCACTGTCCCCGGTGGAAACAACCAAAATTCTGGAACACCCATCTTCTTGCATGACGATATATTCACTTTGTTTATCATAGCAGATGCAATATCTCTCTTTACTTCTTCCACTTCAGTCCTGCTTTTTATTGGGATCCTCACGTCTCGTTATGCTGAGAAAGATTTCCTCAAGACATTGCCATTGAAGTTACTTTTCGGCCTTGTGACCCTTTTCATGTCTGTGGTGGCTATGATAGTAGCATTTTGTGCTTCCCTTGCTATGATGCTAAAGGGATATCAGAGGATTATAATAGCAGCCATGTCACTTGGGAGCATTCCAGTTATTGTTCTAGTACCTTCACAGCTTCGCCTCATCCTTGAGATTTTCAATTCTACCGTCTATGCTACATATTAAGTGAAGGGTAGCAAGTGCTAATGTTGGAGTTGATCAGCACTCTAGTGTTGTTAATAGATATCATAAACATCTAGCTATTGGATAACCATCAGCTATATATATAGTTGTTGTCAATGCATTAGGACGAGTGACTGAGGTAATTATAGATTCTGCAAATAATTAAAGTATGTAATAGTAGAGTTATCAAGAAGAGAATGAAGATAACATACCCCTCCCTTATGAGTACAATATATGTATCAAGTTCTCAAAAATTTATGTTAGGTGAATAGATTTACTATAAAATAGTCGTATAACTATATATTTAATTAGAGATACACAAGCGCCAAATTTCATATATCAAATCCACCCAGGCTAATATATTTGCTTCATCTTCTAAAGGATGAATGAAAATATCACTTAACAATCAACTATAAAAGACTATTTTTAAATACCCATGTTTAAGGAAATTTTCTTGAAAGGGTTCGATTAAAGAAAATGATATGAACTATAATGCAAACACTATGATACTTTTTATTCGCTAATAATTACAATAAAATACTTCATCTGAACCTATATTTAAATAAAAATACAAATTTTAAACAATTTAAAGAAATTAGTTAAATTTATACATTAATAATTACAATAAAATATTCTCTCTGAACTTATATATAAATAAAACTGACTAATTTTACACCTATTTAGTTAAATGCATTTCTGTAAAAAAAAATTAATTAAATGTATTTAATTTTTACGATATTATATAATTGAATATTAATCAACGTGATATATTAAACCTGTAATGTACTGTTTAAGTAAATGGCACCTGTAAAACGTACAAGATTTTACCCAAAAGAAGAGGGTATTTGAAAAAAAAAGTAAGAAGAATGTAGAAAATCTTATAAAATATATTTTATAAGTGATGTGATTTAAGAAAAATAACTTCACAATTAATAAAATTCAAAGAAAATGTTATAAAATATCATGATTCGAACATTTAGATAATGCGCTTGCTACTTTTAATTTTTCATTTGATAAATTTGTGGCTTTATCTCAAACAAGAGAGAAGCAATTGAAGAAAGAGTATTTTCTTAACTAAGTTGAACATCAAAAAGACAAGAGTTCTTGATTTTCCTATTCTTTTTTTTTTTGAGGTGTTGATTTTCCTATTCTAATTATATATATATATATATAACAGTACATCTATAAATTACCACGAAGTTAATACGTACGAAGGTTAAACATAGAGTATATGGAGCGAGGATGGGGATAACAAAATCTGTCCCTAATCCACTTCGTTGTCGTGCCTCTTCCCCAAGACCCTAAATCAAAAACTGTGTCATAGTTTAAAAGAGAAAGCTAAAAAGAAAAGAAAAATCTTAAACATTGTTGAACAAGATAAGTGGGCATAGCAACTAAGCTCTAACTCGCACGTATATGTCTAACCCAACCTAATTTTGATGAAAAATATGCTTTTATATAAGTTTGGCTGTATGTTTTTCCCTGACTTTGGGTAGGTAAATCCATGTCCCCTAACTCATACTTGCTACAATTTTATTTTACATTTTTGTTTTAAAAATTTAATTTGATTCTTAAACTTTTTTATTTGCAAGTTATTTTTTTATTTATTATTTTATATATTACTTACTATGTATACTATAATATAATTAATGACTTAAAATTTAATTTATTTAAATATATAAATAAACTAAAATTTTAAAAAAATGTTATGAGTTTCCAATGAATTTATCCCAAATCAACAAAATCCAACAAAGATAGATATAAATTTTATAAAATACAAATTCACATCTTTTTAACCTAAACCTAAACTCGACCCTTCTTTTGTAAAGGTGGAGAAAATAGTAGAAAAACTTAGCTTGTTATTAGGGATGCTAACGGGGTGAAACGGGTATAAGTTTCACTATATCCATCACCTTTTCCATTTTTGTATCTCATACATGTCCTTGTCTCTGTATCTGATAGGTATGAAATTTGTATCTCTATTCCCATCCCTATCAAACATCGGATACAGGGACGGAGCCAGGATTTCAATACTGGGGGGCCGAGAATAAATAATATATAATTTATAATAAATGAAAATTAAAATATATATGTATATATACTGGGGTGCCATATAGTAATATATATGTATATAAAAAAAATTAAAATTGTTGGGGGGGCCGTGGCACCCGTAGGTCCCCCCTTGGCTCCGTCCTTGGTTATGTCGATGATGTTGCTCTACTTCCCCTGCCCTTCTTCATGCATATGCATTCTCCTGCCATAGAACCTCCATAATTGCCAAGACTTCTTGCAATGTTGGATTGTTGTCTATGAAACTAGTATACCCCTTACTCCACTGATGTCTCCATCGTCGACACCATTGGAGCCTTTATTGTTAGTCCCCTTGTATTTCTCCTTAGCAACCTCATCATTATAAATTATTGCTCACAATCAGGGACGGAGCCAGGATTTCAATACTGGGGGGCCGAGAATAAATAATATATAATTTATAATAAATGAAAATTAAAATATATATGTATATATACTGGGGTGCCATATAGTAATATATATGTATATAAAAAAAATTAAAATTGTTGGGGGGGCCGTGGCACCCGTAGGTCCCCCCTTGGCTCCGTCCTTGATCGGATATACCCATACCTATTTCATATTTGCCTAAAAATTTAATTAAATATTTTTTAAAAAAATAAAAATTTTAACATAGAGTAGCAATTATAAAATAACATTAAATAAGTTTCATTTTACATAAATTTATAATAAAGTAAAAATTATATAAATGTTAAGTAAATTTTTTTAAAAATAAATTAATTTAGAAATTTAAAATGGATATGAATATAGGATGGGTAAGTATATATCCGTCCCCGTACTCGATTTAATAAATAAGATATTATTCGTATCCATACTCACACTAATCAAATCGGATAGTCCTTGTTAAAGTCGGACAAATTTGAATGTTATCCACAAATACAAATTTACTTGTCATCCATACTTGTCATCATGTTTGATTCAAGTTTACAAGCATTTTAAATAAAAAGAAATATCTATAAGACTTTAGTGCATAAGTGCTTTCTTTTAATATATTTTTAAAGTACTTAATAGTTAATTATTTACTTCAACATAATTAATTAATTTTATAAATAAGTTTATCCTTAAACAGGAGGGTAGTCGGCGTGCTAGTTGCACCGATAAAATAATAGCAACAATATCTCATCTATGACTGTCACACAAAATTGAACATGTGTGTCCATGTATGTAAAAAAGATGATGTTATATGCAACTAGGGATTGAAGAATCTTACTATCCAATAATTAACCCATACTTCGTAATGATGTTCTCATTTTTCCTTACCTTGATGGATGTTAAAATCTTGAGTCGAATCATCGAGTTCTCCTTTAGCCATCTTTGATTCTCCTCCTTCTTCAAGTCACAAGATGTACAATTAAATTTTGAATTAAGACAACTTTAATTATTAAAGTATATAAGTAAAAACTCCAACTCTCACATGCGCACATATCGTTGGCAAAATCTCAACTTAATTATTCTCTCTATTTTAAAATGATAATAACTCAATTATAAAAAAAAAGTATATTTATTTTATAACAACACTATTGGAATTTCTCTTATTATACGCGACTTTTCATGCGAATTTTGTACTAAAATTTGCAGCAAATATTATTCCTACGAATTTTTCTACGAAATTTTATCTATAGATAATACCTTCGTGGATAATATGTTTTTGCGAATTATACAATTCGCAAGAAATTTTCTTGCGAAATTTCTTACGAAAAAATGCAAAAAAATCGCAAGAAATTTTGTAAGAATATTTTTGTAAGAAATTTTGTAAAAAAAAAAAAAAAAAGAAATTTTGTAAGAATATTTTTTACGAAAAAAATTAAAGAAATTACTACAAATTCTATCAATAATTCTTCAACTTTCAAATGCTCACAATGAATTCATCCGAAACATTTGTTTCCACATCTCCGACATGTGATACATAATCTTTTAAACTTTAAGATTGTAGATTATTATAAGTCTAACACTCAACCATACAAATCAATTTGTAAGGTAAGTGTTATCCCAACTTATATACTTTTTAATTGTTTTATTTTCAATCGATGTGGGACTTGAAGGTTTTTTTTTTAAATATTAAACTTATAAATTTAAATATTCTTTTAATTTTTTCTGCGGATTAAAATTGGCAGGAAAAGTTACTTGCAAAATTTTTCTACCATTTAGTAAATATTACTTGCGAATTTATTTTTGCAAAAAAGTCTGCAAGAAACAAAATAAAATTCTTATAATATTTCCTACAAATTTTTACCATAGAAAAAAATTTCTATGATTATTAAAATTGTAACAAAATTTGAAAAACTTTCTTGTAGATTATTTTTCATAAAAAAATTTGTAAGAAATATTTGTAAATTATTTTTTGCAAATAAATTCATAAAAAAATTTTGTAAAATTATTATTGCAAAAAAATTTTAAAAAAATTCTACGAATATTTTTTTATAAAAAATTCAAAAAAAATGACACTTTCTAGCGGTGAAACTCTCGTTTTTCAAATTATTCTCAATTAATCAATTAAAATCTTTAAAATTTATTTTTTAAAAAAGTTGAATGTTACATGTAACACGAACATGCCTAAGGGCAGCATGACAGTGCTCTAATCCGAGACAAAGAAGCGAAAAGGCAAGCACAACCCTGCTTGGTGGCGGCACAATCATGCTTGGCTCGTCTCTACCCAGCACGATTGTGATGGTGCTTAACATGGCCGTGCTGGTCTCCTTTTGGAAATAGTTTGCCTTTGCCAAGTTCAATCAAATCAATGAATCTTTGTGGAGTCTAATAAATGGACGAGAATCCTGTGTTTGGGGTAACAAATAACACATAACGGAGAGGGAGGTGACTACATGCAACAAAAGGGCAAATTAAAGAACAATTGGAACATTAACCAATGCCATTATTCAGAGTTTAACGCCTACAGTGACAGTAAACAACTTTATTGTTATTCATTTTTGAGAAGTTATAAACTTACATTTAAAATTCTCAAAGAAATAACTCACATGCATGTGAAACTTTGATAGAAACATCATTCTTCCTTTCATATCTAATGTTCCTATTTGATGCGACGGATGGGATTCCATAGTGTAGATCGAAAAATCTCATATATGAGTCTCAGCTGCGATGGTACAAGAACAAAAACTGGAATGCTCCCCAATATGGCACCTCCTATAAAGAGACGCTTATAAGCCCAATAATGATTAAGTACTACACCAAGTGCAGCACAAAATGCAACCATCATGGAGGCCACAGACAGGAAAAGAAAGCCAAGGCCAGCCAATAACTTGAAGGGTATCCTTTTTAGGAAGTCTTTTTCCGCGAAACGTGAAGTGAGGATCCAAATGAATATCAAGACTGAAGTGGCAGAAGTGAAGAGAGATATTGCATCTGCCACGAGAAACGTGGTAAATATTTCGTTGTCTAAGAAAATAGGCACTCCTGTATTTTGATTGTTCCCACCTGGGACAGTGAAGGCCGCAGCAAACATGACAGTGGTGATGAGAATACCCACAAGTGCAAAAGACTTAGCTGCTTGTTTTGCCCATTTCTCTCCTTCTTTCACCAGTTCATCATGCATTTCAGTAAATAGCTCATGAGGCTTCTTATCGTCATCATTTCGAGCTTCCTTACACTTGGGATGCACAACTTCCTCTACTGCCTGTAATGATTTCATCATATAATATCAATACTACTTATAAGAGTGTATGCAAGTTTTCTCTCAACTTAAAAGGATTACATATATGTCGTAATTTTTTTTAATTAAAATGACTACCTATCATGTGATGATAATTTAAGTAATATTGAGATAATTAAGACGAGTTACCTTGAACCATTGAATTTCTCTTTGCATTTGCAGAGCAGCACCAGGTCTGCGATTAAGATCAGAGGAAGGTCCTAAATGTCCAGCGAAGTGCAACAAATTATTACCAAACACATCTGTGCGATATTTAATTATATCCTTTCTTCCATTGAGAGAATATATCAGCTGGAACACCTTTTGTTTACGATGAAGAATTGCATAAGAAAATATGCCTCTATCGTGGCTGTCCTTGGCCCATAAGAGATCATGGTTAGCCTCAGTCATAGCATCTATGAACTCAACAATTCCATGCTTGGCTGCATGCAACATTGCATCGTACACTAAAGCTTTTTCGAGCTGTGAATTATTCAACTTCTCAACACTACGTTTCATGTACCACAATATTTGTCGAACTACAATATGAGTACATTTTTGTTCATATATTTCCCTAATTCCTGAAAGAATTAGAGGAACTTAGTGTTAGAGTAGTTATAGAAAATTAAATCGAATTAAGCAAAGAGGAACAACTAAATTACATATCATTAGGTTTTACGTACATACCGAACATGTGAAGAAATTTGAAAATTTGAATGAACACATAAACAATTTCAAGAACTAGTCCACCTGAACAATCATTCAAAAAGAGAAGTACCGATCAATGCAAATCTATATATGTCATAATAGAGCACAAGATCTATCAGAGACAGAACACTGCATACTTACTCAAAAGCTTTACGGGAAGAAGCAAAACATTCAAAACCGGTCTGCAGAACCTACCTGAATAAAGCATCATAGAAAAAAATCTTTAGTGGTTCATCTATAAATATAATATCTATATTTTTATACTATTTTAATAAAGACAACATTTTTTTATAACAGTACTTCTTAACCTTTTTTCCCCCTCTCGCTTTCTCACACGATTGCCTACTTTAATTTATTTCTTATTTTACTTTTATATAAATAGAAAATTGCCACTTTTTCACTAATAACTATAATAAAGGTAATGGACTTTTTTATATACACATTTTGTGTTCAATTTTATCCGTATAACTACTCCTCAGAGATCGCTATTTTGTTTTTTTTTTTTCTATAAGTTTCACTTTACCAATCACCCAGATCTTTTAATTAACCACCACCACTGCTTTTTTCTGTTATTTTAATTCTTATAAAAAAGAGAGAGAAAAAAATCACTTAGACCTTCTCTAACTGTTAACTCTTCACTCATATTTAACTTTAATTATTTTTAATTTTTAAATAAAATACATGAAGACACAAAATACTTATTTTACACTAATATATAGAAGAATATAAATTGTTTCTTGGTGTTTTTTAAGAATATATTCAGATAAATTTCTCTAAAAAAATTATAGGAGAAGAAAATAAGATAGAGAAATAAAATAATTTTTTCTAAGATAAAAAATTTGTTTACATAAACTATTTTGTAAAAATATTTTTTTCATTAGCATTTTAAAAAATATAATTTATGTATAAGTTAATTTTAACTTGTTGAAATAAATTATTTTTTCCTTATTTTTTCCCAAAAAATTACAGAGAAGTTTAAGCATAGACTAGGTAACCTTTTTTGGATTAGTGAAAATAAAAGAGAGAAAAAAATTGAGTTAAATACGAAATTAAATACCAATTTGTACTATTTATATGAAAGAAAAACAGAGAGAATTTTCTTTTAAAAAAATTCCCCACGGGAAAGTGGCGAGGGGAGTCACTATTATTTTTCAAACATGATAAATAATAAATATTTTTTTGTTAAATTTATTTTTTAATAAGCGCAACTTTTTTTGTATTCTTCTATTTTTATTTCACTCATTTAAATAAGAACTTTTTTTTATAATGTATATAAATAAGATGTTTGTTACTTTATTTTTTCCCTCTTATTTCAATCTTTATCTAAAAATAATATATATATATATATATATATATATATATAATATATTAATTCAACGTACACCAATAGGATTTGGGTTCGCCGGAATGAGTTAGTCCTCCACAGCTAAGAGAATCAATGTTCATATCTTTATTGAAAGAGATGTCCATACTTAATGTCCAATCGTAGCTGAAATAAAATTGTCTCCAAAGAAAAATATCTGTGAAAGAAAGAAAAACAATTAGTTTACTGTACTTTAATATATAAAACATGGTTTAATGTAATATATTCTGGTCAAATTTTTTATTCATTTGTCTTGTTCCAATTGAAAAGAAAAAGAAGGCCATACTATGCCATCAATTTAATTAGTTTTCATCCAAAGTCACTTATAATTATTTTTGTAAACTTATACTTTTTTTATTAGTGTGAATTGAATTCAGTAGTAAAAAAAAATTATAACAGCTCACAGACATTATTCAATCAACCAAACTAAAGTCATTTTTAAAACTTGTATTAACTCAGAATTTTGCATAGATATATAAATGAAGTTGCGAATATCCCTAATTATATATTGAATTTCAACTAAAAATAATATTTAATTTTATTACAACTTAAAATAAACAGAGCAAGTGTTCAAAATTAGTCATCGTTGATTCTGACGTCCCAAAAAAATGATGAAAAAGTTTTGAACATCTCTTATTATTGGCTTTAAAATTTCACTACAATTTTTTATTCATTTTATTTTTACAATTCAAAGGTAATAATAATAGTGCAATATTAATTATCGTAGGTAATATTGAGAGTCCCAAAAAGAAAACTATTCCTAGATAATCTATTTACATTAAATGGATTAATATAATAGATATTTAAGCCAATTTAAATTAAAATTAATAACGTAATTTGAATATTTCTAAAAAATAATAGAGCAAAAATTTGGAGAAACTGTTTAAACATATTTTTTTTAAAATCATATATCAGACCCAAGCATGTAGAAAATTTAATTTTAAATAAGAAAAATGCGTATATAAATATTACTATATATGGAAGCTCATTAATTAAAACAATGATGTATAAAATTGTGTAAAAACAACACATTCATTCAAATATCAATTTGTGGGGAGAAGTGTCGTTCATACGTACCTGGGAAATTTGTCTTATGTCGTCGTCCCTCATTGTGTTGAAATTTCTTTCCTACTCTTAAAACTGTGCAGAAGTATATTAGTACAATATTTTTCAATTAAAAATGGAAAGAACAACTCTTAAACACAGAACATTAATGAAATGTTAAATGTTTTTTTATGTACTAAAAACATAGAACATAAACATTGCACTACATTAACGATGAAGTGTGTATTTGGTTTACAGTTTCCATAGAAACAACTTATTTTTCAAAAGAGAAAAAAACTGAATATAAACTTCAGTTAATTTCTCATACAACCCCTTTTTTTCACAAACAACCTTTTTTTTATTATCTAAATAGTTAAAAGTAAGAAAATCATCCTTCTCAATCACACTAACAAAACTGCAGAATTTAAAATTAAGGAAGTAAAATCACGATGGAAAATCATAGAAACAATAAACAAAATTTAACCAATTTGGTTTTAAGAAGAAATATGGTAACTGATTCTAAAACTTCAAAAAAAAAAAGAGTAAGAAGAGTGCGAAACTTACTATAGTAAATGAATTTCTGTCGAAGTCCAAATTGGCAGCCACTTAAGAATGCAGAAGGCATTTTAGTCAATGTATGCAAGGCGCGAAAGCAGTCAGTTAAGGATTCAGGGGGCAGTTGATCCAGATCCAGGTATGATTCCAGTAATCTCAAAGCCACATCTACCAATGCATTTTTCATTATTTATTTTCTTCCAAATAAATTAAGGAATTAATTTCAGAATTGGCTTAACATTTACTATATTCTTTCGGTCTTTAATTTCTATAAATTTCTTAAAACTAATATATTTTCTGCTAATCTTTACATTTTATTTTTTAATCTTATAAATTTCCTCAAATACAAATTATAGTTTCTGAATATATATATATAAAAAAAAAAAATAAAAAAAAAGAATTCAGTGGTGTGTGGTTTACTTACCAAATATTTCCCCTTTGATACATCGTTCAAGCAGTAGTACTCGATTGTGGTAATCTTGTTCGTTGAGCACTTTCTTGGGAGTTTTCAAGAAAAGGTAACGAGTCATTAGTTTGTGTCCCCTATGAGCAGCGAGGAGAAGAGGGATTTCACCATCTTTATTCGTTATACTAAGCAGATTGTGGCGGATCCGGCCGCCATTATCCTCTACCATGCACTTTGCTACATTGGTGTTCCCAGTGAGATGAGCAGCAAGAGCAAGAGCAGTATTACCCATGCTGTCTTGCATTTTTAATAATCTCTCTCCCCCTTCTTTCACTAACCCCTCAACAACGTTCACGTGACCTGCGATTGCTGCTACGTGAAGAACCGTTCTCTTATCTGAATCCGACGCCGAAAGTAACGCCCCCTTTTCCCCTCTGATGAATAAATCTGCACCTTTCCAATTTCCTTTCTCCACGTACCTGTACAGTTTTCTATAGCAACGAACATTATCGTCTACTACACCTGCATGACATGACATTCATATTTAAACATAAATTAGTTTAATTAGCTTGGTCACTAGCTCCTAACCAGTCTCACTTGAATTCTTCTTGTTTCAATACACATGCGAATTGCAAGTAGCATTTAAATATGTATGTAGTATGTACCTTGCTCTATATCTGGTTCGGCTTTTAACTCAGAACCGTAAAGCGAGGCCAAGGAATTCCAAGTGTCTTTTGCCGTCTCAAAATGCTTAATCTCGTCGAAAATCTTTGATCCACATGAGAGTTGAATGATATGCAAAGCTTCTGCATCCTTCATACTATCATTAGCATTTGTTGAATTAAAACCCCTCTCCACAACTGCCCACAGATCTTTACCCCGCAGATAGTTTCTCATTAAGATTTTCCATCTTTCGTAGTTGTCTTTTGTGAGTACTTCTTGAACTATTCCCCTGGATGCGCTCTCCATTACTAAATTTGAAATAAATCAAATTATGGGCCAAAGCCAAACAGATCTTTCTAAAGTTTTCCGCTCAACTTTTTGGTGGATGATTTGAGTGTGGGTTCAAAAGGGGGAGAAGAAAAATTAATGTCTCGAGGTCTCCCCAACTTATATATATTTGATATTTCTTGTCTGCATGTGTTTGGGCAGTGTGCATTTGGGGGAGGGGGAAGGGGAAGGAAGAGGGGTTAGGAAAAGTACATTACTGGCCACCAGTATTTATATTTGAGGATTTTTTCGGTCCCTTCTAAGTAGGGGGCTTTGGTGCTTTATTTTTTCTATTTATCGACGAAGTGACATGTATATTAATTCGACACGTTATCATGTCTTTATTCTTGTTGATTGGATAGTATGATGACATGTCTAATTAATGCATATGTTACTATGTCAATAGACAAGAGGATCCAAATTCCCTACTTAGAAAGGACATCGAAGGAATTATCTTTGTATTTAGGTTTAATCGATATATTTGTGACTCATGTTTTATGTATTTTTTTCAAAGTTTTGTCATTCAAATAACTTTTAAAAATATATTCACTTAATTTTTAAATTTGTATATATTTTTTTACTCTATTAATTGATTATTTAATATAATTGATCATCGATGTGATATATTGATTATGAATATGCATGTCACATCATATCATGTCATCATGTGCATGTCTCATTAGTTAATTATGTTAATAATTAATATGTTATATCAGTAATTAGCATATCACGTCAATAATTAATATATCACATCAATGATCAATTAATAATATTAGATGATCAATTAATGGTATGAGAAAATATGTAAAATTTTAAAAATTAAGTGACAAAATATACAATTTTAAAAGTTGAGTAACAAAGTTCACAAAAACGTGAAATATAGATGACAAAATTACAATTAATTCTTGTTTCTAAAAATTAATTTACTCATTTTTTTCATGAATACTTTGTTTCACCTTAGGGTTTAGCTTACTTATCTTTTCTTCACCTTTTTTGTTGAGTGTATTTAATAAAATTAGCTTATAAGTTAATTGAAAATTTTTATAAGTTTATAAAAATTTTAAACCCTAAATTCTAAAATTTATAAATTAGGTGAAACTTGTAACTTATAAGCTAGGATCTATAAAAAGTTAAAAACTTATAATCTAACAAATAAAATAAAAAGTGTTTGACATAATTAGTCAATAAATAGACTAATAAATATAAAAGGATCATGATTTAAATTGATACCATGGTGTTTAATTAGTAAAATGATATCTTCAATAATTTTTTATAGAATGCAACTTTAATCGATCCAACTATTGTATTTGATGATGTTATACTCTTGATTATGTATAACAAATTTTAAATGATTTAAACTCTACTATATTATCTTGAGGTTAACATAGAAATTGTAAATAACTATATATATATATATATATATTAGTTTTTTAATAAAATTAAGATCAACTTGATAGCATGTATATAACTCTAAATATCATGTTTAGACCATACAAGGTTATAAAAGATTAAATTATGGAAATACAGTTTGCGAATGGTGATGGTAAATGACTTTACCCATTGAGTGTTTAATCTTATGGATGGTTTGAGATATTTATATCAATATATAGGAAAGAGAAATTACGGGAGTGAACAATTGTGAATAAGTTATAATGTGAGTTGATTGTTAACAACTTGAGATGTTTTGGTGATAGCAATGCTTAAGGAATCAATGTGTAATATCAATAACATTGCAAGACTATTTAAATTATTAATTTAAATGTTTAGTTTGATGTTGATCTCCTAGTAACTACAATTGATGTATTAACATATGATACATAATTCCATAATAACTTTATTTGAGGTGTTGTCAAATGATATGTTGTGGACATTGTTGTGTTTGATATGTGAATATGTTACTCTTTTGTGCTATAACATGTTGTGTTTGTGTGCTAATCATGTGATGATCATGCAATGTGAAGTCTAAGTCGAGGCTAAGTCAACATAAAGTTTGGGTGTTATTGCGTAACAATGATGCAAATGTGATATATAAATGATGTGACTGTGATGAATACATGTGATATGAACTATGCATTGACTCTTGTGTGACATGCATCATATGTATAAAGTGTTTGGTGACGAGTATGCTATGGAACACGCTGCCAGGAAAGGTTCCCCTTATAAAAACTTGGGAATTCATGACCTTGGAGATAACTAGGTTTCAGAGTCCTAGTTTCGCTCGTTTGTGTGCATTGGGCTTAACTTACGTGACACTATCATCCTAACTATCTCCTCCTAATATAGAGTGTTGTAATATTGTGACACAACATGTTTTCCTAGACTATTCTATGCATGCCTTCAAATAAGGGTTAAAATGTTTTACTAACGCCACATGCATACTATAAAGTGAAGTTCGTACTCCTAGCATTATGTGCATTCATGAACAATTTATGTGTTGAGATATTTCACGATTTCGCAACTATTTATATTGTGCTTATGTATAAGTTGTATATGTTATGTGTTGCTTGCGTTTGACTATTTAGCTATATCCTACCCTAGTAGTTAGAGTGAGATGTTTCTTACTTCTATTTTCTTTATTGGTGCTCTTATGTATGTGTTACAGATTGACAGAAAATAGAAATATACTTTTCCTATGTACAACCATATATAACAAAAGAGTAAAAATGATTAAATTATTTAGGTTCAATTTTAATTATACATTTATTATAGCAAGTAAATTTGTACTTGTAGATAATGTTCGAACCCGTCACAACTTTAACGAAAAATATCCAATTTAACTAAACATGAGTATGGGTATGAATAATATCTTATTTATTGAATCGGATACGAGGACAACGATAAGTATGTATATACTCATCCCTATTCCTATATCCATACCTATACTCACTTTAAATTTCTATAAACTTAATTTATTTTTTTTAAAATTTACTTGACATTTATATAACTCTTATCCTATTTTAAATTTGAAATTTAATTAATGTAATTTTGTAATTATTTACTCTATATTAAGAAAATCATAATTAATTTTTGAGTGAGTATGAGTGTGAGTACAAATATACCAGATATTTGATAAGGACAGAAATAAAAATACAAATTTCATACCTGACAAATATAGAAACAAAAATAAATATAAAATAAAAAAATACTGAAACTCGTACCGGTTCTACTCTATTGCCATCCCTACCTTTATTCTTTTCATGCTCTTACTTACGTTCACGCTTATTTTGTATACATGTGTGTTTCTTGTCAATAATATGTTGAAAAGGTATTTCGATTTCTACTCACGTTTGTCCAACATTTCTTAAAATAATCATAACATCTCGATCAAATGAATTTTCTTGTTATTCATCTGATTACGTGCATGGACTCGTTCGTCATTGCCAGCTGCTTTGCTGGAGTCAAATTAAATAATTTTTATGGTGATCGATAAGCACCATATGCATTCTAACCACATACTTAACGTTTTCCTATGCGCTCGAGGTTCACGCAATTACAAGCATTTAATAAGCAACTAGCGATTAATTAAAAGAGTTTGATGTGGAAGCTCTCACATTATTATTAAAAAGTTTTACACCATTATTCAATCAAATTCTACTTTTGATATAATTTTTAAAATACTAATTATAAAAATTAATAAACTTACAAAAAGAATAATTTTTTTTATTAAATGATAATATAGAATTATCTTACATTATCAATATATCATCATTAAACTCTAATTAAAAATGAAAAACTATCAATTTAATTATTCTCTTTCTTAAATAGCCGTTGAGGTTATTAAAGAAATAAGTAAATTAATTTATCAGTTGCTGAAAATTAATCATCAACAAAATTAGTGATGCATCAAAATATTATAATTATAGAAGAAATAAAAATAGTTCTTGACATAATTAAATCATGTAAATAATTTTTAAAATATAAATATTTATCCATTTAAAAATATATAATTGGAAATTGTTGAATTTATATACTTTAAAAGAATCAACACTTAGGAAATTATTTACATGACTTCTAATACTTTAGATATTATTTATATAATATATTTTAGAGACTATTTAAAATAAAGAGTAATACTTTTGAAAGAAAATTGATGGGTTATTCAATTATTTTTTAGAACAATAAAGTATTATTATTATTATTATTATTATTATTATTATTATTATTATTAAGAGAGTCAATTAGTATAAGATATATATTAACTTTAAAAACAAAGTTTGTATAAAGTGCACATATATCATGAGAATAGTCGTGATTTACTTTATTCATCTTTTTTAATTGATGGATTATTCAATTAAAATAGTGTTTCCTTCCTCTGATAATTCAATGTATGTATGACTTCCGGCCGGTTCCCACAAGACAAAAGAATTTTAAAATGCTTTCCATTTGGAATCCAAGGTTCACACCCATCATAGTCATCCTGAATGTGTGTGTGTGTTTACATGTGTAGCAGGAGAGATCTAGTGTAGTTACTTTATTATTCTTAACTTGTAATTTACATTTAATTTTAATAATTTAATTATTAAATTAAAAGTTTTTAATAAATAAAATAAGTCTATAAATTTAAATTAATGTATAAAATATTTTTATGGATATATATACATTAATTTAAATTCATGTAATGAAGTATTAAATAATTTTTAAATTTTATAAAAAAATTATAGATTTAATTTATTCATTAAGAGTATTTAATTTAATAGTTTAATCATTAAAATTTAGTACAGATTATGAATTATTAAGTGGAATAATTTTACTGAGAAAGAGAGAGATGAGTGATTCGTTTACTTCAAGAATAAGTCTATCTATATTTAATCCGTTTAATAACTTATATTCTACATCAAATTTCAATGATTCAACCATTAACTTAAAATTCCTTAATTCTTAGATCTAATCCATAAATTTTTAAAAAATTTAAAAATTATTTGATACTTCATTTCAATAATTCAAATTAACATATAAAATGCTTTTATGATTAATTATCTGTTAATTTGAATAATAAAACAAAGTATTAAATGATTTTCAATTTTTTTTTAAATTTATAGACTTAATATATGTATTAAAAACTTTAAATTCAATAGTTAGATTGTTGAAATTTAATATAAAACACGAGTTATTAAATGAAGTAAGTCTAAGTAAACTTACTCTTGGAGTAAACAAATTTCCCTTCACATATGATACTTTTGA